GACGTGGTGCACAGGCTAAAGGTTGAGACATGTTCGTAACGTAGAGGACGGGTAAAACAGCGAGGTGTGAGGATCAGAAAGGCTGATCTCCTGGGTGGTGACTGGGAGGGAAAACACATGAGGCAGATTTTGGTGATGGGCTTTGTCTTTCACTGTGTGTCAGTTACGAGGGACAAGGCATTGCCGTGCAGGCTGCAGAAGATAGGAGACTGTATTGCTCTGAACGTAGTAGCATATAATAGGTGTGCACTCCAGGAGAATCGGACTGTGTACTGCCGGTTTTGTTTCAGAGTTAATTTTTTTCTATAGCCAGGGCATAGGAAAGTAATTATACCCAGGGTTTAGGACTAAATAAACTTAGAATCATAGGATCATTTTTGTTGGAAAAGACCTTTAAGATCATCGGGTCCGACCATTATCCTAGCACTACCAAGCCCACCACTAAACCATGTCCCTAAGCACCACATCTACATGTCTGTCAAACACCTCCAGGGATGGTGACTCCACCACCTCCCTGGGCAGCCTGTTCCAACGTCTAACCACTCTTTCAGTAAAAAAATTTTTCCTAACGTTGAATCTAAATCTCCCCTGGCACCGCTCGAGGCCATGACCTCCTGTCGTTAGTTACTTGGGAGAAGAGACCAACACCAGGCTTGCTACAACTTCCTTTTAGGTAGTTGTAGAGAGCGATAACTTCCTTCACTCTCCCTTTGTTTTAGGAAGAGCAGATGAGGAGGAAAAAGCGAGAAGATCGTCTTGAGAAAATTCGCCATAATGTGCAGTTAAAATATGCAGCAAAGAGGAAGGTGAGTTACCCTGCAGAGGTTAGAGCTTTCTGTTTTGGTTACCTTGAGTGTTGTTCATACCCGCTTATATCTGCGGCTTCACACTGAATTTTCCAACCCATCTGTGTGGGGAGCCCTTTGTATTAAGTCACTGAAATTGGCTATCGAGAATTTTTGGTTAGATTTTCTTTTTGCAGTACAGATGTGAAAAACAATTTGTGCCTAGAGAATTTCCTGTGACTATGTTGTGTGTGGATAGAAAGGACGTGTGTTCTGATGGCCTTCTGGCCCTCTGCTTTTACTTTAAAAGCTTTAATACTTGTTTTTTTATTTTTTTTTGAAAGCTCTCTGTTTTGTGAGCATGGTGAACACTCTGTACTTCTGGAATAAAACTTGTAGAACTGTGGTTAAATTTAAGATTGTGGGAACTGAAGACCTCCCCCAAAAAAAGCCAGGTCAGGCTTTGGTTGTACTTAGCTCACCACTAGGGAATGACTGTGTTTGTTTACTTTCATAGCAAATGTGATTATATTGTTCAGAAACGTCTCTTTCCTACATATAAAAAGTTCACTAATATATTTTCCTGTTGTTTAGATGGGTGAACTGGCCTCAGTACTCTTGACTCTGAGAGCTTTTTGATGGTCTGAGTCAACCTTCCCCGAAATACCCACTTCAGGTCCCCAAACAAGGCTGCCAGGCTATTAATTTCTGGTGTGCTCCATCTCAAGTGCTGTGTTGTGTTTTGGTCAACTCCTCTCGAAAGGATAGGGCAGAAATAGCAAAGGTTCAAAGGTGAATGGCAAATAAAAAACAAGTGGAATAAAGAACTTTAGTCTCTTAAAAGAGGATGAAGAGCATGTGAAATGAGAAGCATGATGAAAAGCAAGAAAGCAAATGAGAGAAATACTATAGAGATTTGGAAAAGCAACTGATTAATCTCCTCTGTAGTGCTCACTAACTGCATTTCTTCATAATGCCACAGTAAAAAAAAAGCTCATTGGCGTTGGAAGATGCTGTTTTCAGATTTAAAAAACAAACTCTTTTTTTTATCAGAACACAAAGTTAATCAGAAAACTATTCTTCAACAGTTTGATGGCATTTTTGTAGAGGGGTAGACCTGTGTTAGAATAAGAACCGCGTAACTGGAGAAGAAACAGTAAGAGAAGTCTTGGGCTCTGTGTTCTAAAACAGGTGCTGAGTTTATCCTAGTGTTGAGTTAAGCATGGACAGAGTGATTAGGCCCTTGTATGGTTGGTTAGTTGGGTTTATTTACACACTATTTTTTCTCAGGCAGACATCTTTTTATGGGCCACTTTAAGCAACTCGTACTGGATTACACAGATATTGTCATTTCAGGATCTGTTAGTTCAGTGGGCCTTTTGGGCAGAAGGTTCTTTATGTTTCCCCTTCATATATGTCTGCGTGGGCAAGTCTTTAGTGGTTGGCAGCAGCTGCATTCTGCGGGGCTGAACAGCTTCAGACACCCTTGGTGCATTTGGTTGTCCTGCTGGGGGTTCACCCAGCAAGCTGTTCCCTGTGTTACACGCGAGGGACTGTGCTGTCTTCTCTGTCTTCTGACCTGTCTGCGGCATGAAGCGGTGTGCGTGCGACCTCTCTTTCTGCATGAGCCATAATGTGACCCGTGTGTTCCTTTCAGAGATCTGAGGAGGATGAGACAAAGCGCCTCCTTCAGCTCAGCAAGGAGGTTCTTTCAGAGGCAGCTGGAGCAGATGTTCTAGAGCAGCTGGATCACAATGAGGAGGAGCTGATTCTTGCTGAATATGAGAGTGATGAAGAAAAGAAAGTGGTCTCTGGGTAAGGACAGGGACTGAGGGGGTTCCATGGCAAGGAAACCTTTTCTGTATCATTTGTGGCTTGCTTTGATTAAAGAGGTTTCACCTGTGATTGTGCAGATCTGGAGTTTCTCCCCCATTCAAGCTGTGTAAGGTAGTGGTTGTTCTGGGGGTTGGTTTAATTGGTTGGCTTGGTGGGGGTTTTTTTAGGTTTATTTTATTTTATTGGGTTTTTTTTTTAAGGTTTTGTTAGACTGATCAGAGTAACTGAAGTGTTTTCTGAAAAAGCGCATCTCTTTCTTAAAATGTGCGGCAATGTCCTGACTGGAGATCAAGTTCTTTGCATTAGAAAAGCAAAGTGGAAGTCAGGGCATCAGAGGAAGCTGTTGGTCCTGCAGATTGGCGCTGGCATCTTTTGATACTCTAATGGGAGGAGTGTTCACGTTTCTAAAGACCCAGCTTTGGCATGAAAGCCCCGTGCACGCTTTGCTCTCTCATACACTTGCTTTATGCGGAAAGCCAGAAGCCATACTTCACCTTCAGAAAATACATTTAAAATACAAATTTACTCATTAGTATCTAGGCAGATCCTCCTGCCTTAAAAATTGCTAAAACACTTAACTACTTTGTTTATATGTCATTTATCAAACATCAAACTGCTGTTGCATTTGAGGAACTCTATGGCAGCTAAATAGCTTCCTGAAGCTTTTCTTTATGCAATAGCTTGAGGGTGTCTCTAAAGCGAAAGTTTTACAAGAATAAATAAATAAGCTCACCAAAGAATAGTATAGCACTGATGATTAGCTTGTGCCTGGGGCTTAGAAGCCCCAGATTTAAAAGAAAAAAAAAAAAATATTGAAGTTGCTAAAGACACAGCCCTGCAGACATTTTTCTTTTAAAGAGCAAGGCTTGACTTGATCGTGCACACTTAACAACATTCTTAAAAAGTCAATTTTCCTTTTACCTCCTGAGTTAAGATTTGAGGCTCTTCTGGAGATGACATGACTGTCTCTCTTGACGCCTCTCTCTTATAGTAGAGCATCATTTGATCAAAACTGTCAGTGACCTGCTGAAAAGAAACTGTTTGAACTTTCTCTTTTCTTAGGCTGGAAGAAGATGACGAGGATTTGGAAGAGGAACATGTGACTAAGGTGAGATGAGGAGAGTAAATAGTGCCGCCTCATAGAACAGTGTAGGAGCGAGCAGAGTTATGGCTTCCTTGCAGCCTTCCCAGAGTCAGGCGGTACAGAAGGATTTAGGAACTAGCGCCCAGGAACTGCCAAGTTTGTTGGTAATAGCAACCACTTCTGCTGTGCTCATCCCCCGGGCTACACTGGCTGCCTAAGCAGCTTGCTCTGCTAACCCTGCTGAATCTTTGCTGCGGCTTGCTGTAAAAGCACACTGCAAGAAATGGGGTTTTCTTTATTACTCTCCAGTGGCGAGTCCCTGTTTTTATAGGGACAACGAAAGCAAATGCATGGGAGAAAACAAAGGCAAGGCTGTTGGCCTCCACACTCCAATGTGTGCCTTCCCTTGTGTTTTTGAAGGCTTGAGCAAGGTTGTTGAAGAGCTTGGCTGCTTCCTTCCAGGATTGGTTGTAGGCAGGGGATTGACTTCCCTGTTGTTCTTGTGTGCTTACTCGTTGTAGATTTACTACTGCAGCCGCACTCACTCCCAGCTGTCCCAGTTTGTGCACGAGGTGCAAAAGAGTCCTTTTGGCAAAGACACACGTCTGGTCTCCTTGGGATCCCGGCAGGTATGTGGTGGTGTTCGCAAGGGACCCTGAGTGCGTGTTAACGTAACGTGAGAGACTTTGCGAGGAGATGTGTGGGTCTGGTGCCACAGGGGCATCTTGGGGAGTGACTGAATCTCCCGTTGAAAAACTAAAGGGTCATAACACAGACCTGCATGATGTACATTTTAATGTGAGCTATGTTTTGGCCATTTACCCTTTGATGTAAATGCAAAAATCTGTTTTGCCTTTTCTCATGTGGAATATTACAGATGTCTGAGTCACTGGGAAGGCTGTCCTCTTAGTATTACATCTGGCAGCGTTTTTTAGAAGCTGTTGTGTGCCAGCGAGCCATCTCAGTGCACCTTTTCTCGTATTTTTTATCCTTGCTAAGTTTTTATGGGTTTTGAACATATTTGTAGCAGTTAGTATGCACGATATCTGACTGATAGACTTTTCAGTTTTGGAATCCGACCCGAGATTGCTTTAAAGAAATCTCTTCTTTCACAGCAAAGGGTGCACACGGGGCACTCGCTTCTTAATTGATGCACTACCTCTTCCTCTCTTTGCATGTCCAAGAACCTGTGTGTGAATGAGGAGGTGCAACGCTTGGGGGCTCTCCAGCTCATCAATGACCGCTGCATGGAGATGCAAAAGAACAAACATGGTAGGAACGCTTCCGGCCTGGGGAGGCAATCGCCAGTAAAGCTGGTATGCACGCTGCCGGTCGGTTCTAGCGAGAAAGCGGTAGGAGCTTGAAAATGGCAGGTTGGAGGAGCAGAGCTAGGCATCTTCAGTGCTTGCACTTTTCTCGTCCTCCAGGCTAAGATGCCGAGATCTCTATATATTTTCTGGGTGTCTTAAGTTGGTCAGGACTTCTGCAATGGAACGATACTTGGCTTTGTAACTCAGTACTAGAAATGTTGGAAAATGTCGCGTGGCTAAATCTAACTGGCAAAGATAGTGTCCACTGTGGAGGTGGAAGTGTTACGGCTGAATGTTGGTCAAAAAATACACATGACAAGGCCTGCTTTGAAACCTAGGCTGTTCTGGGCTGTGTGTTGCTCATAGCTTTCTTTTGATTTTTGGTGTTTAGAAAAGAAGAGTGGTGAAGAGATGGAAGGGAAGAAGAGACGTGCGAGTCGCACCGTATGCCCATTTTATTCCTATGAGCAAATGCAGTTTCTCCGCGATGAAGTTCTAGTGGAAGTGAAGGATATTGAGCAGTTGGTGGCTTTGGGCAGGGAGACCAAAGCCTGCCCGTACTATGGGAGTCGATACGCCATTCCTGCTGCTCAGGTAAGGTGTACGCGCTTTTAGCGGAATTGATGTCAGGGCCTCTAAAAATAAACCTGTTGCCTGCTCCCTCCAGTCCTGTTACTCAATATTATGGGAGTTTGTAAGCAGGATGTGTTTCTCTCAGCTGTAGTTTTGCTGAGGAAGCAAAGGAAAATAAGAATACCCATTTGAAGTTAATAGGGAGGCTGTAAGTGTGTCTCAGCATTCTGAAGCACTTGAAAGGCTCCATAACTCTGAGGCATGGGTGTAATCTCAGCTCTTGGCACTGCTCTCATTCCTTGCTTAGTTCTGTATCAGAAAACATGCTTTTGGTCCTCCAAAGGAGATTCGGAAGGTAACCTGAGCCGATATGCTGTTGTAGCATAATCCTTTCTCTTCAGCTTACACCCCAGTGCCCCTCTCAAGCACGTGCTCCTGTCTCTGTTCCTGCCCTTCCCATGATAAGTCTAAGTAACCTGACTGAACTCTGCGAGGTCGTCTGATATGGGCCTTTAACGAGCGCTTGGGAACTGCCCTAAGTTTGTAAGGACGAGGGCTGGAATCAGGGCAGTGTGTGCTTCTCCTGTAGCTGGTGGTACTGCCCTATCAGACGCTCTTGCACGAGCCTACCAGGACCGCTGCTGGGATCAAGCTGAAGGACCAAGTCGTAATCATTGACGAGGCCCACAACCTCATAGACACCATCACCTGTATCCATAGTGCGGAGGTCAGTGGCTCTCAGGTGAGTCACAGCCTGGCCTGTTAATCCTGAGCGAGCTCTGCCTCCAGCAGAGTGCCCTTTCTTGACTCTTTCGTAATAACAGCTCCTCTTTTTTTTTCGTTCGTGTAGCTGTGCTGTGCCCACTCCCAGCTGTTGCAGTACATGGAGCGATACAGGTGAGGATCTCGGAGGACAACAGCGCACCAGTGGCAGGCAATGCGGATGCCGTGGCTTGTCTCATGTCTGCAGGGTCTCTCTTGCTTTTCCCTGGTGAAAAGTTATTTGCATTAATACTTCTGCAGATGAAAAGCCGCTTGCTTCGTTATCTCTGTCTAGGATCCATCTAAGTCAGGCTCCTGGGGCTGGTATTAAGCAGTGAGAAGGGGGATACCCTGAGGATTCTGGCTTTCCATTATACTCTGAGTTCCTTTCCCAGTATCTCCCTCTAATCGCTCCTGCTTTGTGTGGGATGCAGAGTTTCAAAAGATTCAGTCTTTCATGTCTCTCCTGGACCTTAGTCTTTCATGTGCTGACTGGCATTATGGCAGAGGCAGTAAGCTCTGAAGAGGAGGAAGCCGTATGTGGTTTTTGGCTCTGCATCTTGTCATCCCTGCAGTGGTTGATTATTGTGCTCAATGGTAATAATTTGCTAATTTGAATTTGTGGAGCATTATTGAAACGGGGACTTGAGGCATCACTGCCATTGTAATAAACTGTAATTAATGTGTGAGGAGAAAGGCAATGGTAGGAACAGTGTGGCGTGCATGGGCGAGTGACCGCCCGGGGTGACCTTATGTAGGATATCCAGGGGTCTGTGCCCTGTCACAAATAGGGAGAGGGAGCCTGGGAGAAATCATTCTTGGTTCCTGTCTCCCCTAAATGAAGAGGAGTTGTTTCTGCAGCTCAGCTGCTTCAGTTAGTCCCTGAAGATGTTTTGGGGCCTGATACATATGTTCATTTTTCGTAGGAAACGTTTGAAGGCAAAGAACTTGATGTACATTAAGCAGATCCTGTATTTGCTGGAGCGGTTTGTGGCCATGCTGGGAGGTAAGCAAACCTGTCTCCAGAGGTCCTGATAGACTGAGCTAGTTGGTGCACTGTCCTGCTTCCCCCTCTGCAGAGACCGTGGGGGCTCATGTATGGGTTCAGATGCCAATAATTTTATTTTTCAGGCTGTTGGGTAACACGTAGGTGTTGGCTGGTGTCTGCCTGAGCCCCTCTCTTTGATTAGCTGAGGAGCCGTAGATGACATCCTAAGTTGGTAGAGGCAGCTTCCTTCTCTTTCTCTGTGGTTTTCAGACCTGGTTTGAGTGGGGATGAGGTAGGATGCTAAGTGAGGGATACAGCACATGTGTGACGGTGATCAGGACAGCCCAAGAGCTGCACAGAATAAATCTCCTGGGTCATCTGATAGCAAGGCCTCTACCTACGTCAGGCATGCCTCTGCAGAATCGATCTTTGCCTTTGTGAGAAAATACTGTTTTGCTGCGATTTTTAAATCCACTGGAATTTGCAGGGCTTCTTTTCCCTAATAATCTGTTTGCCAGACCTCGGTGTGTCTTGAGGAGAGCCTGTCCTAAGTTCATAAATAAATTCCTTCTTGCCCAGGGGAAGGGCAGCATTTTGGGGCAGGGGCCTGGCGGTGCTTTCTGCCTTTCTCTCAAAAGTGTACTTCTTCCCCCTCTGCTCCTGCCACTCTTCTCTTCCCTGCACTCGGTGAAGTGCTTTTGTTAGAACATGCAGCCTGTGTACAGCTTCATGACTGAGGCTGCAAAAGCGAGATGTGAGGTGGGTGTTAAAGACCAGGACGTAAAATGCAGCGAGCGGCAGCAATTAATCCTGTTCTGGCTGTCGAGGTCTGGGCATGGAGGTGTCCTCAGGTTTCCCCCTCTTCCCAGTTGCCTGCCAGCCTGTGCGCCTCCCAGCTCCTCGCTGCTGCATTGAGGAGGGCTGAGGGATGCATTGCAGTCCCTGTCCCTTCATCTTTGCAGCGTGATGACTGCATAGTGTGTGAGCATTTGCATGCACCTGCCCTACCTGCTGCATCCTGCTACAGAAGGAAGGTACGTGATGTTTCTTAGGATGCAGTAGCAGCACGTTTGTGCTATAATGGTGGGCTGCCCTACAGGGGAAATGGAAACTAAGCAGGAGCTGATGTTGTGTCTGTTCAGCGAGGTTTTGCAGATGTATGATTATTTCTTGGGTTTTGTCCTGGTGTGATGTCCCTTTCAGCTCAGTTGTTAAGTCTTGCATAAATTTTAAGACAGAGCCATTGTAAGCCTACCTTGAATTGGTTTCATGTTTTACAGGCAATGTGAACCAAAATCCTAGCTGTCAGGCAGTTTCCCAAACAGGTAAGGCTGGAGTGAACAGCTGGGTATGCAGCCATTAGTCAGGGACATGGGTGTGGGCAATAAGGGGCTGCAGGCCCAGCAGCTAATAGTTGTTTTCTCCTTCCTTTTTCCCCCCCCCCCCCCTTTTCTTTCAGGGACAGTGCTAAAATCCATCAATGACTTTCTATTTCAGAGCCAGACTGACAATATCAACCTCTTCAAGGTAAATGTTGTCGTCTGCTAGGGCACAGGTGGTGGTGGCTTGTTCAGGGTTATCGGGAAGCGTGTGTGAGAGCTGGAAGCAGAGCCAAGGCCTGTGTGGCAGCGCCCACCTCCCCAGTGCATAGATCTGTGTATAGATCTTTGCTGCTGCTGCTGTCTGGGTAACAGTGTGTTAAAGCTGGATGGGTGGTCTTGGGGTAGAGGGAAGCGAGCAATTAAGAGTGCAGCGGCTGTCTGTGGGCAAAGCTGAACTGGTAGGGCTGGGGGTGAAGAAGCTGTCCTGCTCCAGTAACCTAACCCATCCCTCAGGTCTCCAAACACAGCACCTTAACACCGTGTGTTTCTGCTCTGGAAGCAGTGCCTTTGTGATAAGCTGTTGTCTGGGAGCCAGCGCTCACGAAGAGCTGTGCACCCCTCCCCAAGAGCAGCGAGTGAGATCCCTGCTGGACAGGGATCACGGGCAGCGGTGGGGCAGAAGGGATGGTGAATGCTGGTTCATTTTTCTGTCTTCCCCAACAGGTTCAGCGTTACTGCGAGAAGAGCCTCATCAGTAGGAAGGTACTGTCCCCGAGGCTTTGTGGTCAGCAGTGTTCAGGTGCTGTTTCACGCGTTGAGTTTGAAGTGGAAGAGGCAGCAGCTGGGGTGGGAGCCTGTCTTCTCCACCCTGGTCTGCAAACATGGTTCCTGCAAAAAGCACTATATGGGCAGGTTACCTTTTGCTTATAGAGCAAAGAAACATACAACAAGGTGTGCCACGGTGTTCCAGCAGGTGCTAATTCTGTGCTGCTTGGCCTCAAACCTGCCAGCCTGGTGGGCTGCGCTGCACTGGAGGAACGAACATCAGAGACTTGTTTTGGTTTTGATTCAGTGGGTGGAGGAAAGCAAGGGGAGCTCTGGGCTGCGCTGGTAGATTCTGACTGGGCTGGTTTGCGAACACCTCCCGCAGAGCTTCATCTGTGGCAGGGGCGGCAA